AAAACCACCAGCCTGGATATATCCCTATCCTCGGCCATCCGGGGACCCGTTGCTAGCGTCTTGGGCCGCTATCGAGATACAGATACAGATACGTACATGCGAAGGCCAGGGCGGCGTTGACAGCGGGATCCTCGACCCATCAATCCCTCCCTCCTCCGCCTCCACCTCCACCCGCCCGCCCGACTAACTACTACACCCACATCCACCACGACCACCACGACGATAGTCCCTCATCCCGCTTCGCCTTCCACATCCCTGTCGGCGTGGGTGTTGGCGACCGTTTGGCGATAGGTACACACTCTCCGTTCCCAGCTCGGTCTCCGGCAGGCTGGACCGCCCAGCGTGCGACCAAGTACCAAGAGGGGAAAAAGAACCACAAGAGAAAAACCAGCCGCACTCAACTTCCTCTTCAGGCCCGCGGCTGAAGACTTGAAACGGGGCCCTCTCGCGCGCTCTCGAGTCCCATTCCCTCCGCTGTCGCCCCATTTCGCCATCTCATCGTCATCTCACCTCCAGACTTCCGTCTCTCTTCCCGCCCCCCCGGTCCCCCGTCCCGCCTGCCCTTCTCCCCTTGTCGTCGTCGCTTTACCTCGCTTTCCTTCGCCTTGCCTTTTTTGGTGTTTGTCTCATGCAGGGCTTTGGCGTTGCCGCCGCGGCAGATCCCAATAGCCTTTCAACGAGGTCCTACTACGTAAGGTAGTACTTGCACTTACACCGATTTCTCCCACGACCGCCACCGCGGCTGCATTCACAAAGGGCTAGAATACAAAGACCCTCGACTCGCCTCGACCGCCTCCTCCACCTCCTCCACATCCGCCTCTTGTCTCCACCTGGGTCTTTGATTAGATCATTAGCCTCCTTCTTCCTCTACCGGCACCGCGCTACTGCTCGCGCTACGCTCCGCACCCGGCCTGCCAAACCAAAGCCAACCCCCCCGCCCAAGCGACAATCGTTGCCTCGCCGCGGCACCAAAAAGCAACACTGTCTCACTCGAAAAGCAAGGCTTCGTCCGTCCACCAACACGCGAGCGAGTCCCGACCAAGCTTTCCCGGATGCAGAAGGCCTCCTGAAGGACTTAAAAGTCATCCCCCCCCCTCCACTGCCCTTGCACGATGCGCCGTTCGTCCCCCGCGACAAAGACGGATCGCCATCAAGACGAAGCCGTCGCCGACTCTCATGTCCGGGATGAGGGCTTTCAAGCTCACTTGCACGACCCCGCCACTGTTCCGGTCCCCGGTCCCGTCGTCCTCTCCGTGCCGGTGCGTGCGGCCACCGAGCAAGATCCGAATCAGAACAATGAACCCGAGCTTCATCGTCATACAATCGCCGCATCCAACACGTCGATAGCTGATGCTTTCCCCGCCGACGGCGCTACCGCTACCGCTACCGCTACCGTTACCGTTACCACGACGGCTTCCGGAACCGCTACTCCCAACACCCTAGCCTTGACAACTCCTCATCTCCACCAAAACAGCGCCGACAACGAGGATTACGGCAACAGCGACATTGACAGCTTCGACTCCGACATAGACCTCGATCTCGACCTCGACCACGCACCCGACATTGCCCTCATTGGTCTCCTTCGGCCACCATTCCTCAACCACCTCAACCACCTCAATCACCTCCACCTCCCCATCCTCCCTCTCAACTTCAATCACAACTACCCAAGCCACCTGGAAGACTATGACCTCGATATGAGCGATAGCGACGGAGGCGCCCCCCTTGACGACATCATTGCTGCCGCCCACATCGTTTCTACCGTACCTCAACTAGTCTTCCAAGGCCACCCTCCCCCGCCCGACGAGGACGACGATGATCAAGTGCCAGATCCTGGCTCACTCAACCACCTACACCCGTTCGCCTTTCATATACCAACCCTGGAAGGTGCCGGATTGATCATGGACGTTCCTCCTCCTCTGGGCTGGGCCCCGCCCCCTACCAATATTCCTCAAAATCAGCAACCAGCGCCTCAACTCGCGCCGCCTGCAAACGATGTCTGGGATGATGCTCCCTTGGTCAGCAATCCGAACCCGACCATGCTCGGGTCCGAGAATCTGGGCTTGATGGACTTTCTCCGAAACTGGGCCATACAAGCCCGCATTTCATCACCCATGTCGGTGGCGAGAGCATATGCTCCATGTCCTCACAGCATTCGCGAGCAGGCTACTAGCCAGATCGACGAAGTCCGATACTCGGACCTGCGGGGCGATTCTTGCGATATGCAGGGCATTGACTGGGCCGCTATGGGCACCACCCGAAGTCATGCACGGGAGAGGCGATATCTCACATACAGAAATTATACTAACAAGGAGGGGTCTGATCAATGGACAGTGAGTATTTGCCGTGTCTTATCTTGAACCTGCAACGACGGTCCCTAAACTGATTCGCAATCGCAGCCTCTCGTGCGCGATGTCAAGATCCCGCCGCAAGACAGTTTCTTCCGATTTCGAAACTTGCACGTCCGCCCGGACGTTTACCTCGCTCATTTCCAATTGCGTAGCGTCCTAGCATGTCCCTCGCGGAGTCAGGCGTTCTACCCTGGCCCGCGGGGAATCAACTGCATAAACCCCATCTCCAGGAAGACGGAGTTGGCCCTTGATTTAAGTGGAATCAGTGGGCTTGGTTCCGTCATCTCCACTCTCGATGCCAATCATGGCGTATTGATGGCTGGCATGTTCAATGGAGAGTACTGCTTGAGGAATCTCGACTCGGATAACAAGAAGCACTTTGTGGACGGTCAGATCACAGGCAACCCGGGCGGTATCACTAACCACTTGCAAATCCACCTCCCTCGGCGGTCATCACGCCCTGTGGCGGCTCTCGCAAGCAACGACCACGGATTCCGCGTCATGGACCTGAGTACGGAAACTTTTGTCATGGATACCGTGTATCCCTTCCCCCTAAATTGCACCGCCATCTCCCCGGACGGCCGACTGAGAGTCATGGTGGGCGACCACTGCAATGTCATTATTTCCAACGCGGAGACGGGCCAGATCCAGAAGGAGCTCACAGGACATCGTGATTTCGGCTTCTCCTGCGACTGGTCTGACGATGGCTGGACAGTCGCTACAGGCTTCCAAGACAAAGGCGTCAAGATCTGGGATGCCCGTCGATGGTGCAGCACGAGCGGCGAGAGCATGCCCCTCTGCACCATCCGATCCGAGATGGCGGGTGTTCGCAACCTACGCTTCTCCCCAGGTGGCAGCGGCCAGAGGGTTCTCGTGGCAGCCGAAGAGGCTGACTACGTCAACATCATCGATGCTCAGACGTTCCGCACCAAACAGACTGTCGACATATTCGGCGAGATCGGCGGCGTTGCCTTTACCAACGACGGGCAGGACCTGAGCGTGCTATGCAGCGACCATCACCGTGGGGGACTCCTTCAACTAGAACGGTGCGGCCGCGGTATCGAGCCCTTCTTTGACAGGACATGGCCACGGCAAGCTAGATCCTTTTCCAGGCACAACCGGAAAGATAGCCAGATACGTCCCTACGAGGCCTACCGCCGAAGGCCAACCATGCTGGATTCCATGGTATTGTTCTAATGATATTAGACTCATTATGTTCTGCACATCTACAGGTTCGGATTCATACCATGTGTCTTTCGGGAACACGCAGCGTGCGCGGGGGCGCACATAATCCGACTTTCCATCAACAACATCGCATTCTCGACTACAGCATGGTTCTGGAACGGGATGCAACGGCGCTGTTTGACTAAATTGGAGCTTTCCCACCAGACTAGTCATCTCTCTCCTAGACACACGCGTACGCACGCACATGTGTCAGGCATTATACCCATTTCTTTGCCATGTAATTGGTCTACGTCATTTGACAGAGTCGATACTCATGACGAGGTCAACCCGCGTGTCGGGGACGGCAGGGCGCTCGTCGCAAAAAAACCATGACGCATTACAATTCATTTCTAGTTTATTCTTCCACGGCACTTTTCTTTTTCCTCTTTCCATCGTCCTATCTGCGGAAGACACAGGCATGCATTCCTGGGGGCTGGATACAACGGCATGGCAACTGGCTACGGTATTGCATATCAAATGGGATCCATCACCCGGTTGTGATGTGGATTCCACTAAGGGGTTTTTGACATTCTGGTTGTCTTATATATCTGGTTCATGGGTCTTTTTCTGGGGCGGCGGTCCCAGGGAATTGAAGAGATGGGGGTTATGTGACACAATATTAATGCATCAATACCGATGGGTTATAACAGGCTTTCTGAAACTAAAATTGTTCCTGAGCAAGACGAACTCGCTTCGTTCAAGGATTGGCAGTCAGTAACACTGTAACTCAGAATAACATGTACATGAAGGTCAGAGAGGTAGGAGTTGGTAGCATTGCATAAAGTTAGCCGCCTCGATTTCTCTTTTGACGTGCTGATCTACACCTAATTAGTAAGACCTCGGTCATTCTATTGGTTCTTGCCGTCCTTAGTTAATTTAGCTCTCCATGCGCGCAGATGAACTTCATATCCCGGTTGTTTGCAAATTTCGGTGACAATGGACCTGAATTTTGAAGAGTATTCATATGACCTCATGTCTTTCCGCTTCGCATTTACATATCAGAGAACCAACTGAACAGCTACCAACACCTTGTAAGCTCAGCCATAACTAAACCATTCAAAATTCGTATTTCTTTAGTTTCCTTGGGAAGCATGCAGCTCTGGCTGGTCCAGGTGCAGTTCCGTCGGGGGCTGCTGTTACAGCAGCTGCCACTAAACAACCCTACCTGTAGAAGTTTATTGCAGTGGGGGTCTTAGCAGTGGTTAGTGAGTGCCAGTGCCTGTAGGCTCGGTGGCTACAGGGGCCTTCGCGCAATGGTACAGGGCGTTCCCTCTAGGACCAAAAGGCGGGGTCGTGTGACCTTTGCGTGCGAATACCAAAGCTCTTCTCAATGAGATCACGATTCTTGCGTTCTTTTCTCCCTCCCTTTATATATCTGCATACTCGTTGCATTAATCATAATCACAGGTCACTAATCACGTGGCTCTCGGCCTGGTGGCCTAATGGCTAAGGCGTTGCTTTCCGGTGGCAAAGATTCTGGGTTCGAGTCCCAGCTGGGTCGAGGATTATCTTTTTGCATTTTTCCCTCCCATCTGAGCGCATTTGTGGCATCGCCATTAGAGCTTAGGGTCTTGGGTTCCTAACAAAAGCTGTGAAGGACAGTATTTTCCCTACCCTTTGGGGTATGCCTAAGTATTGTTACTGGTGGCGGGATCTGTTGTGTAATGCGGGAAGTCATTGGCAAAGGATACCGCTAATAAACACATATTTGATCCGTGTGATTTGAACTTTGAATACGATAGATGTATACCAAATAGCAGCCTGTAGAGTATGAATGAAGATGTTTTTGTGATAAGATTTGCTTTACACAACCAACCAGGTAATAGCTACATAGTCACTATTGAGAAGAAACGGCGTGTGGTAAGCATGGTGGTTTGAAGGTTTGTACATCTTTTATTCGCTACCAGCTAGATCTTGTATGAACGTCGAATAATACCACGGAACTGATCATTCACTTGCACCACTACATACCGGCTCCATCTCCCACATCCCATACCGCCTATCTAGTAACCCTCCCAACCTCTCCATGTCTTGGATATTTTCTGATTCCTCGTCAACTCGGCCCTCGGACATTTACTGCGAGGGGTGCTGTCCCATCCCACCCCTCTCTCTCCCACACCGCCCTTTGTCTCTTCCCTCTCGCAACTCCCCGAGACTGAGACACCTCTATAGACCCATGACACACGACAATGTCTCTCCCCGCCCTATGATTGTTTCTTTTGCGGGCCGGGTCACCGACTCCGCGGCTACGTGTGATTGGGTCCACTCGGGTTGATGTTGTTTGCGCTTATTTGTCTCAGCGCCACCGGCGATCGTTTCCCGCCGCGTTGCAACTCTTTGAGGAATCACAAGGATTGCTTTTTATTTACCTTCTTTTCTGCAGGGCGGAAAAGAGGGCACGCAAGAACAGCTGACTCGGGTTGAGACCATGTCAAATGCGTGTGATGTCGTTCGGTTTGCGAAATGAGATGTGACGCGGCTGCAGGCGTCGGCGCTAACAATGCCGAAAACCTGGTAAACACGACTCATGGGTGTCACATATGATTAAGAAACAGAGTCAAGAAGTCACGGACGTGTTGGATAAGAATAAGCAACTTCAGTATTTGAAGACACTAATAAATTACAGCATTATGAAGCAGAGGCTAAATGACAACCCGGCCAAATAGAGCGTACATGTAGGTCATCCCTCCCCAAATGGGTGTTTTACTCCCCTCTCGCCAACCATGAAAATATTTCAGAACCGTTCAGATATATATCGCAGACCACAAAGGGAAAACACACAAAATAGTAACCAAATCATGTGTCAATAGACAAAACACATTATTCGAAGGAGTCTTCGCGGCCGACCGGCTCCCCCGTCCCCCTTTCCGCTGCGAGGCGTGCGAAAGACGCGATGCCCCCCAAGCGCTGACTGTCCGTGAGAGAAAGAAGAGCGCTGGCGTGCCGGGCTATCGGACTCCGCTCGAAGTATTTGTGTAGTGTTGTGATGGTATCGTAGCCTGCGTAGGGTGGCAGGAGGGTATTTGCTGGGGAAGAGGGACTAACAGGGCCGGGCGGGGTTGAAGATGGCTCATATACATTTAGCATGTGCGAGTTGATATGTGCAGAGGACACAATGCATGCTGTAACCGGGAGCGAAGAATAGAGGTGGGAGCTTAGAAGTTGTTCTTGGAGCCCCAGCTCTGCTCGCAGCCGCAGGAGCCAGGCTCCTTCCACATGTCGTTCTCGTAAGAGAAGAAGACGGTCTTGTCACCGCAGTTCTCACGGATAGAGGCAATAGCGGTAGCCTGCTGCTCCTCACCGGGGCAGGCAACACCGTTGCACTCACCCTGAGTAGGCCAGCCGCACTCCAGGTTGATCACCTCGTTGCCGGAGCAGATGTCGCTGAGGAGCTCGAGCTGACCGCTGACGAACACACCAGCGGCAGAAGCCTCAGTGGCAGCGTTGAAGTAAGGGTGGATGTTGGCACCAGTAACATCGACAACGGGGCAGATGGCGTCAGCGACGCCAGTTTGCTGCCAGATGTTGAGGGTCTCGGCGATGGTGTAAGGGCCAGTGTAGCCGGAGCACTTGGACTTGACGACGGTGATGAGCTCAGCGAGGTCAGAAGCAGAGCAGTATCCGTTCATGATAGCCTCGTTTCCGACGACGAAGAGCTTGACGAGATCCCACTGAGCCCACTCAGCGATGGCATCAACCTGCTTCTTGATGTCGGGGGTGTTGTAGCTGCAGCCAGTCTCCTTGACAAAGACACCAATGATCATGTCCATGCCGTACTCCTCGCAAGCGGGACCGACAGAGGTGAGGGTATCGCAGTCAGTGGAGTAGGATCGGACGATGCTAAAGCCCTTGTCCTTGAGGGTCTTGATGTCGGACTTGACCTCGGAGGCGGACTTGCACTCGCCGGTGGAGGACTCGTAGGGAGTGTAGGTGATACCGTAGTGGTCGTTGCTGCTCTTCAGGTTGCCGCTGCTGTAGCTCTTGGAGCTGGACTTGGAGCTAGACTTGCTGGTGGCGGCGCTGGACTTGGGAGCCGAGTAAGCGACGCTGGAAGGAGCCGAATAAGCGACGCTGGAGGGAGCCTTGTAGGCGACGCTGGAGGGAACCTCGTAGACGACGCTGGAAGGGGCCTTGTAGACAACGGCAGTGGTGGTAGGGGCAGCCACCTTGACGGGAACCGAGGTGGTGGAAACGAGGCCCTCGCTGGAGTAGGGGCAGACGTAGACGTAACCGGTCTCGGTGACGGTGACAACCTGCTCAGGGGCAGTGTAGGTACCAGGGGCGTAGCTGGTGGGGACGGGGTAGACCAGGACGGTCTCGACATCGCAGGACTTGGTGATGGGAGCGATGGTGTAGGTGCCGGCGCTGGGGCAGACATACACGGTGGTGTCGATCACGCTGGTAACAACGCCGTTGACCTCGGTCTCCTTGGCGTAGGGGCAGGTGACTGTGGTGGCAGTCTCGACGATGGTGGTGACACCGCCAAGGGTGTGAGTTCCAGCGGGAACCTTGGTGGTCTGGGCGCCGCAAACGGTGGTCGACTCGGTCACAGTGACGGTGGTCGCGGGGAAGGTGTAAGTGCCGGGGGTAGGGCAATCGTGGACCTCAGGGGTGGGGAGAGGGACAACGACAACGACCTTGGTGGAGGTAGGGGCGGCCTCGGAGGTGATGACCTCAGAGTAAGTCACCACAGGCTTGGTGGGAACCTCAACCTTGGAGGTGGTGGGAACTGGCGCGGCGCTGCTGGTGACAACGGAAGAAGTCGTGGGGACAGCAGGGGGAGGGTTGGGCACAACTGTAAACGGGTCAGTTCGAAGACTCCGGACCGGGAATCGAGAATCAGTTCTTACGGGTGGGCTCGCCGTAGATGGTAGTCCAGATAGTAGTGCAACCAGGAACACAGCTCTCCTCGCCGCGCTTGAAGAGGTCGTGAGCGCGACGGTGGTGAGGGTAGGCGGCCTGGGCACCGGAGGCCAGGACCGCGACGGCGGCGGCAGCAACTGTTCCCTTCATGATGAGTGGATTAGAGGTGTAGTTGGGTTGAGAAACGAATGCCCGCTAAAAGAGTGAAGCGGTAAGTTGGTGAGAGGAACGAAACAAGAGGAAGAAAGCGAAGTTGGCTGGGCTCTCAAAGTCTCGACATTGACTGGATCGTGGGGAGGAAGAGAAGAAGAAGAGGAAAGGAAGGGCACTATGAAGGAAACAGCCGGCTATGTTATTATTGCGGTGGCGGGCTTGAGCGCCAAGGTTAGCAACTTGGTTCAAGGGTCGGGGCCTCCTCGCATTGGCAAAGAGCCGGTCGAAGTTAGCCAAGAATAGGCGGGACATTGATACGCAGGCCTCGGACGACCGTACCACAATTCAAGATTGACAGGGGTTGAGTCCCGACAGTGAATCACCGCGGTCACCGTTGGTGGTTGCGGCCTATCACTCATCCCAGGGTTCGTCGCCAAATAGGGGATGGGTGGAGCTCACGCAGTGTGTAATTTCAATCGCATCGGCCGCCCAAGGGTGGTCAACACCCTCGACCGCTCCTAAGCTACCCTCCAAGAGCCCAAAAGGGCAGCCGAAGGGGGCGGCACGGGGAATACACGAGAGAGACGGGGGCCGGAGGATGAACCGGGCAAGCTGCCCAGAAAGGCGATGCCTGCCAGCAAATGAGCGGCCAATGCGGTTGGTGCTGGGGAGAGATCCTTGAAAGCGACATTAATACCACAATGGCCCACGGCGCCTGGTTGTGCCCAGGATGTGACTGGACGTGACTGGACGTGACTAGCCATGCCTGTCCGGGGCGTTGAAGGGTGGCCAATGTGTGGTAGACGAAGCCCCGCTGGGAGATGAGCTTGGCCTCAGTCTCTTTCCCAGTGTGGTCCAGTGTGGCCTCGCATGGCACGGCCCCCAGCTGCTTCAGCCTGGCCCTGGCACACGGGGTCCCTTCTGTCCAAAGAGAACCGGCGCATCAGCCGGCTCATCGGGGGCGGGTCGAGAGATTGTTCCTGCATCTGCGAGGCCATATTCCCTCTAGTCCAGGGGGTTAGCGCCTGTAGCAGGGTGGAGGGTGACCTAGGCGCTCGTGTTGGTTATTAGTGCCTCTCGCCGCCTTGTCTGGCTGCTGGGCAAATCTGGGCAAATCTGGCACGCTGATGAGCCGTGGTCACTGCTCGTCCAGCAGTCGCTGGCTGCAATGTCTTTCTTTAGCACTGGCGGCGGTTGGCTGCATCGTCTAACCAACCATCGAGGCGCAGTCGCCCTCTTCCTTTATTGCGGGGATATAAGCGGCAACGAAGCCGGGGGTGTGTTTGACGATCGGATCCTGTCTGGCCGAAATAGCCTTCCCAATTCGGCACATGGCAGCCGACCTCGTAGGGCCCCAACGGTCACCGACTTCTCAGAGCTCGATTTCGGCGTCGCTGTCGTTCGTGGCTGCATCCCAAAGGGCGGGGGAACACCCTAGAACTCCTTGGCCTTGCGACAATCCGATCACATCTTGATCAGCCGACA